AAAGGAGGCTGAGGGTCCTTCATTGTCATCCATTCAACAGTCCTTGCCATCTCAGTAGTGTGATGGTGTAAAAACCCTTCAAGATTACTTCCAAATTGTCCAGTTACTTCTAGCCTACATGCTAAGCTCTCAAGTTTGATGCATCTCATCTCAAGTTTAATGCAGTCTTTCCTGCAGTGATCACTAAAACAGAGGACAGGTGTGCATCTATCACATTATGCACTCCTGGGGCTGACATCACCAGCCCCATTTCCTGTCCACTCAGTGTGCCATCACTGCCTGATGAGGGCGCTACATTATTATGGTTTGTTACTGGCTATTTAACAAAAGTGACAGCTCTAGTTATGATTGGAAAAAAAATGGAGTATAGAGCTCTATTTTTTAATTAGTACAGAAATCAATCCAACACAACCTTACATCCTAAATATTTTTCTCATTTATCTTGGTGGTCAGTCTGTCATTCCCTTTTCCCTTTGGTAGTGGGCGTCTACTACAGAGACCAGGTGCGTGGCATCTCTGGCTTTCCCCCAGCTACCTCCTACACCTGCTGAAGGAGGCTCATGTGTTTACAGAGAAGATCACAGCTGTCAGACAGCTATGACTGCTGACAGTTGCATCCTCTGAGATGGTTATTAGCTGATAGCCTGTCACATGGTTTTAACTAATTGATAGAAACTAAGTGGTTAAAATTGGGAATTGTGTCTTTCATGACAAAGTTGGTTATTTCTGGTATGCCACATGATTAAATATCTTGGCCATGGTGTTTTTTGTGTCTATGTTTTATCATTGGATCAGAGCCTTTGTATTTATGGTATCAATTTTAATTTCTATGTTGATGACACATACATTTGCAGTCACACAAAACCTTCAGTGTATAAAACAGTATTTGTCAACTGCACAGATTTAGTCCTATCGCTTAGGAGGAATTTACTGGTCTACAGAGATCTGCTTGGAGTACTAACACACAGAATGATGGATGGATGGATTAATACCTTCATCGTTTCCTTTTTTATATTGTATAATGCTAGCATGCCTAGAGGGGTTGGGCAACCAGTTAACCTTGGACCCCTAGAGGTTTTTTCTCTCCTTACTAAGGAGTTTTTGGTTCCTCTCCTCCGTTATCTTCTGGTCTTCTGTTCTGTATTGACAAAATGTATCAATTGTACTGTTAAGCGCCTTGGGGCAACCTTGTTGTGAAAGGTGCTATATAAAAATAAATTCAATTTAATTTAATTTACTGTATGAATTTTGGTGTCATCTTTGATCCAGGGTTTGCATTCGGAGCATTCATGTTCACAGTGATGGAAAAGTGTCTTTTTTCAGCTTTGTAACATTGTATGTACTGTAACTGTTAGAATCTCTCCCTGTTTGTTGCAGAAATACAAATGTACAAAACTACAATGCACAAGCATTTTACAGTTTTACATTTGTGGTTGGTTGAGTCGATTTGATCAGTTTCTTCATTTACTAATCCAGTCACCTTAGCTGCAGTTTTGTTTCTAAAATAACCTAAGCACTATTGTCAAGTGACTTTTACTCTGTTAAAAAAAACCTCCATTTTCTAATCTGCTTAATCCAGTACAAGGAAATAGGGGAAACCAGACACTAACCCAACAAGGAACAGGTAGAAGGCGGGTTACATCCTGGACAGTCCATTATAGGGCATACATGTACACCAACAGCTCACGCTGACAATCACACCAGGGCCAATTTTACAGAAGCCAATTAACTTCCCAGCATGTCTTTGGACTGTGGGAGGTAACCCATGGGAAAACATACTTTATGCCTATAGCACCCCAGGAATTCAATCTAAGGCCCCAGCACTATGAGACAGCAATGCTAACCTCTTTGCCACTGTGGCACCCTGTAGACAACATGTGCTTCTTTTTTTCCTAAATGAATAACCTTTGTCAGGAGATGTCTGTCAAGCTGATGGAGGCTGAAACATAAGTGAACAATGGGTGTGGAGTGAAACAGCTTGTGAATGACATTCATGACTCATGTCAGCTAGAAATGAAGTGTTTCTCCATGTACAAGTACTGTATAGTCCTGTTCTTTTCATAAAAGTCTAAACATTTTTCACTACATACTTAGTATTCATCTATTTTTCTTAATAAAAAACAAAACGAAATCACTTTACATCACTGCAGAGCTTCACAAACATCTTTTAGGATTTTAATGTTGTCACTGTGGTAAACGTAGCAAGGTGGAAAATATTTTATGGGAATGGTCAAGTTTCAAATTTATTGTCATTACACTCATATACATGGTATATGGTATAACGAAATGCTATTTAGCTAGTTCTCGGACATAAGTAGTACAAAGAGAAAAAAAACAACAACAACAATACAATTGTGTAGCAAAAGAAAGACAGAGACAACAGGCAGTGTGCAAAAAACAACAACAGACGATGTGCAAAAAACAACAACAGGCAATGTGCAAAACAACAAAAAGGTAACAGGTTATGTGCAAAAATATGATGCGTTATATGCATTAATAACAAATCAAGGGCTACTTTTTTCTATCATTAAGTTCAGTTTTGCTAATAAAAAAATATTAAATCTCAGACTGAGATTTATTGTTTTGACAATTTAATGTTGTCAAAAATCTCAGACTGAGTGTTGACCTCTAATTCATTATTAGTTTAATATTTTTTTAATTAGCAAAACTGAATTTAATGATAGAAAAAAATGATAGAAAAAAGTAGCCCTTGATTTGTTATTAGTGCATATAACGCATCATAAGTAATCCACAGTATAAGACAATTAGTCTTTGAAGTGAGCCTGTTTTAGGTGTGCTTTGCAAGAAAACATCAACTCTGAACTCTTTTCTGTGAGCAAGATTTCTAGAAAACCACATTGGTCCCACTTTATTACCAATAAGGTGTTAAGGTGACACAGCAATCACAGCAATGAATTATGCACAATGCACACAGCACCCAGGAGAGTAATTTACTCAGTTTCTAATACCTGTTAAAAGATTTGTTCTTATTCTTTGTGCCCAACAGATTTAAGCCATCAGTAACTGAGCCAACAAAGTTTTTTGCCATCAGGATCTTGTTTTCACCTTCTTTGTTAGCCTCACTGAACCCTGTGTTCTTACTTGGAAAGGCACAGCAATGAGGCCTGTCCATATTTCATATTATAGGACAGATCATCTGGTGCCATGCCTAGGAGGCTTAT